TTTTATTGATTTCAGAGAGAGGAAGGGAGGGGGAGAGACAGAAGCATAAATGATGAGAGAGAATCATTGATTGGCTGCCTCCTGCATGCCCCCTATTAAGGATCGAGCCTGCACCCCCAGCATGTGCCCTGAACCGTTACCTCCTGGTTCATGGGTCGATGCCAACCATTGAGACACACCAGCCAGGCAATACCAGTACTGTTTTTGATTCACATTTGGGAGCCCGCCGATTTGGAGAGCCAACTATATGCATTAATCTGTATAGGGAAATTGAGCATCTGTGGGGATTTTAGTATCTGTGTGTATGTATGTTTGTGTGGAGATGGGGGCGGTTCTGGAACAAATCTCTTGAAGATACTGAGGGACAATTTAAGTTTTGGAAGAGTCAAAGTTATATGCAGACTTTCAACTGTGCAGGGGTAGGTGCCCCTAAGCCCTGTATTGTTCGGAGTCAGCTGTATATTCAAAATCAATCACTTCTCATCCCCCACCTCTGGATTATTATAATAGGCTCCCAATTGGTCTCCCTGCTTATTCCACTGCCCCTCCTAAATTTATTCTTCATAGAACAGCCAGAGTAACTCTGTTAAAATATAAATCAAATTGTGTGGATCTTCTACTCAAAACCCTTCACAGGACCCTCAACATGGAGTAAATGCCAAAGTTCTTATGACCTGCAAGGCTAGCTGGCTCCTGCTACCTCTCTGTCTTCTCTCTTTTTTTAAAAAAAGAAAAATTAAATTTATTAAAAGGGGGTGGGGATATCCAAAGGGAAGGGCTTCACAGCACTGAGCCAAAGGATATGGGGTCCATGATGGTAGCAGAAATATAGTTGGGACAGTGAAACAAGGAAGAGCACAGAAGAGGCAACAGGAGAGCCGAGGCTGGGCTGCTTTGGCTCACTGAGAAGTCAGAGAGAGAAGGGGGCCTCGGAGACAAGTTCAGGGGGTAAGCCCGGGAGGAGCTGCTGCTGCCCATTGCTCCCTGGTTGCAAGTCTCTTGGGGTCCCCTTGGAGGGATGGAGACGGTGCTGGCGTGCTCCCCTTCTGGAGAGCGAGCACTGGGTCCTTTGTCCTGAGCTTATTTATCTCTTTCAGGTGGCAATCTGAGGGAAGGTCTCAGACCCTCAGGGGAGGGTCTTAATAGAATATTCATCAGCTTTCCAGGTGTGCTCTTTCAGGGTCATGGTCTCCATTGATTGGTTGGTGTCAGGGCAGTGGGTCATTAGTCTATTTGGCTGGTCCTGAGGCAGCCAGGGCACCACTTGTCTGTTTTCTTCGCTGCTTTTCTGGGCCTGGAACTGAAATACAACTGCGGCCTAGATGTTATCTTTAGGGAGAAACGCTTATGGGGTCTAAACCACATGACCAGCGATATGCTGGGGAGGCCAGGTTACCCTGGGGACAAGGTTCTTCTTTTCCCAGTTTCGCCTCTTGCTAGGCATCCGGGGCTTCCTGCCCTGATGAGTCTCTGTACCCAGGTTTCTGTACCTGGGTTTCTGTACCTGGCCCATCTAACAGAGACGACTGTGTTTTTTGTTTTTCAAAATCTGTGGATAAGTGGACCCGCCCAGTTCAAACTCGTGTTCTTCCCTGTCTTCTCTTACTCTCCCCAGGGTACACTATGCTCCAGCCATTTCTAGGCCCTTTGCACTTGCTGTCCCCAAAATGCTCTTCCCTAAACATCAGAATAGTGTTGTCTCTCTCTCTCTCCTTTTTTTCAGAACTTTCTTCAAAACTCCCCTTCCGAGGAAGGTCTTCCTTGGCTCTCCTATCTAAAATAAAACCTCTCCCCTCACAAAAATAAATAAATAAATAAATAAATAAATAAATAAATAAATAAATAAATAAATAAATAAAACCTCCCCCAACCAATGTTTTACTCCCACTTCTCTGATTTATTTTGTCTCCTTGGTATTTACTGCAATCTTAAACTATATATTTTATTTATCTTTATTGTTTATCTATCTCATTAGAATGGGGAGCTCCATGAGGAAAATTTTTTTTTTTAACTTTTTAAAATTATCACCCAAGGATATGTTTTTGTTTTGTTTTTTAAAATATATCTTTATTGATTTCAGAGAGAGGAAGGGAGAGGGAGAGAGAGATAGAAACATCAATTAAGAGAGAATCATTGATTGGCTGCCTCCTGCACGCCGCCACTGGGGATCAAGCCTGCAGCCTGGGGGCATGTGCCCTGACCCGGAATTGAACCGTGATCTCCTGGATCATAGGTCGATATTGAACCACTGAGCAACACTGGCCGGGCTGTTTGTTTGTTTTTAAGCCTCACCAGAGGATATTTTTTCCATTGCTATTCAGAGAGAGTGGAAGGGGGGTGAGAGAGAGAGGGAGGAACGTCTATATGAGAGAGACACATCAATTGGCTGCCTGCAACCGAGGTACGGGCTCTTGGCTGGAATAGAATCCGGGACCCTTCAGTCCAAAGGCCAATGCTCTAACACAAAGCCAAATAGGTTAGGGCTTTTTGTTTGTTTTTAATTTGATTTTAGGGAGAGAGAGGGAGGAGAGAGACAGAGAGAGAAACATCAATGTGAGAAAAACATCGATCAGTTGCCTCCCACACACACCCTGACCAGGGATCAAATCCACAACCTAGGTATGTGCCCTGACCAGAAATCAAACCTGCAACCTTTTGGTGTACCGATGACACTCCAACCAATTGAGACACCAGGCTAGCGTGAAAGAGAGTTTTTGTTGGTTTTGTTCACTATTGTATACCCGCTACTTAGAATATTGACAGACACACTGTGAGGCACTCAGTAGGTATTTGTTGAATGAATGAATGAAAAGAATGGACATTTCCAAGAAGCAAATTTTACTCCTTAATGAAAAACTTTATAACAAGCAGAGCTGCTTAAAATATAATCATGTTGATATGCACAGTACATGACCTCTTAAAGATGTTACCTCATCACACCTCACATCAGTCCAGGCCAGGAGGAAGGCTGAGCACAGATTATGATGCCAGTTATGGAGGAAACAGTCCAGGGGAAAAAAAGACCTGTTAAGTGTCACACATCTTGTTGGGGCAGGAGTGTAGTTTTGTAGTTTTGGATTACTGGCCTTGGAAGAGGCTGATGGGTGATAGAACTTAATGGGGGTTGGGTTCAAAAGACCTCTTGCTGGAAGACATGACGATCTCTGAAAGGGAGGGTGGGTTACAGGTTACAAGAACAGAGACATCAGCAAAAGAGCGGAAGAGATGACAAGGCTGACAAGACATGACAAGGATGAATTTGGCCCTGGTCTGGAAAGGGCAGCTGAATTCCTCAGCAGCAGAGGAATTCCTCTGTGCCTGAGGCTGATAGTCACTTTAAACCCTTTCATAATCTCGAATACACAACTGGACAGGCAATCTGGAGAGACAAGTGAGACCACTGCCAGTGTGCAGTCTTGCTTCCCCATTGGACTGTGAGGTGTTTGGGAGAGAGATCATGTTCCTAGATTTATCCTTAGCTTCTTGAAGAACATGGATTATAGCAGGGACTCAAATACAGGGTTTCCCAAAAAATGTATATACACTTTGAATGATTATAAAGTCAGTGTTTATTACCATACAGTTCATTTTCAAAATTTGAAAGACAGAAATGAATAATTTTTTTGGTCAACACCTGTTTTCAAACTGATGACTGGTCTGGTCCAGGCACTGCTGATTGATAATGTAAAGCAATGGAATCACAAACATCAAGAATCATTTCCTTCGGTATTTGTGTGCCCTCAACTCGTCAACTCTCGCCAGTTTTGTACCATAAGCTTCATCTTTTATGTATCCCCATAAAAAAGTCCAGTGGATGAATTTTCTTTGATGAAAGCACTCTGGCTTCACTCATTATTTCAAGTAAGTTAAACCTGAAAAGGAGTTATCAGCTGTTAAAGTATGTATACATTTGGGAGGGGATCCTGTATTTCCGCTGAAGGCATACATAATGAACGTATGCGCAACACGGAAAACTGGGAGACGAAGAAACGGTGTAAAACCACCCAGCGATTCTGGTTAAAAGCAGGTTAATTTTCTTGGTATGCAGCAGAACAAACAGGCCCACTACTAACCTAGGTAGCGCCCAGCTATTTTGCAGCAGGGGTTGACCAGCAAATAGTCTGCAGGCAGAGGGTGGGGTTAAACGGAGCCACCCACCGGGCTAGAGGGGCGGAGCAGAGCGGGGGCGCCAATTAGCTGAGTTTCCAGGCGGGGCCAAAAGAACAGGCGGGACAAATTGCCACTTCCAACTACCCGGCTAAGGTGTGTAACGTCACATCCGGGACGGGAGCGGCAAACAAAAAGAGACCAATGACGCATGCGTTTGGTGCGTCCCAGGTTCTGGAGGGTCCTTCCGCTGAGGCGGAGCGAAGTGCTTCCGGGTCGCTGCCGGCTGCCGCCTCCCGGCGCGGTAAGTACAGAAGTAAAGCTGCGTCTACTGTCTCTTTGCGCCTTCCTCCCTCCCCTAGAGAAACCCCGGTCCCCGGACCCGCTCCTCCGAAGCTCCGTGTTCCGACTCCTTTTAATATTAAAGAGCGCCAACTCATTGGCCGCTTCCGCGAGACTAAGCCCCACCCCGTTACACAAGGCCCGTCACTCATTGGTGTTACTTCTTGTCACCCAGCATTTCTTCCAGTTAATTGGCCCTATTCAAGCCCCGCTCCTTTCGCTATTAGCAACCCTATGAGGGTAAATGCCTCTCTGAATCCCGCCCCTGCCTTATTCCCGTTGGTCACCTTCACGGTTGTTATCGTAAGCAAAGAATGGGCGGTGGCTTGGCGGCGACGGTTTGCGTTTTCCCAGCCTGGGTCTCTGTGCCTGTCAGTAATTCTGGGACATGATGGTTGGTGCTGTTGTACCTGTACGTGGTCTGGGAAGCTCAGGTTCACGGAACGGCAGGGCTGGCCCTGGATCGGTCAAATAAGTGAAGACAAAAACCGAACTAGACCTAGATCTTTTTCTCCTGCTCATCGTTAGTACCCGGCCTGGACTTCTTCCCGGCGGGAGTTATATGCCTCAGTTCACTGTGTGACCTAGAGTCCAGTCGTTGCCTGTCGCTGAGCCTCAGTTTTCCTGTGAGCCGAAAGGTTTTAATTCATATTCTTTAGGACCTTCCCGGTCAGCTCGTTAAGCTGAATTTATTTATTCTTTCACAACACGTTAATTCATCCAGTCAACCTTCCATCTACTTATTTATACATTTACCCATGCCTTTAGAATGCTTTACTGAACCATACTTGGATGTTCTCCCATCTACCCCTCTCCACCAATTTGGCTGTGGTTTATGAGAGAGGTGATTAGTGTCCTAAATTTCTGACACTGGGTGTATATGTGTGGATAATCATAGAGGGGCAAAAAATAGGTCTTAGGAGGAGGTAGAGGCAGTTTCAGTAGAGTCCTGCTACCTCTAATTTTGTAATGCTAGTCTGCATTTTGTATTCCTATCTCTGCATTTGGCTTCCATTCTCATCCCTCTTTGAACAGCTTACAAATAGCTTTACTTATCCATAAAGTAAATTACCTTAATGATCAGAATAATTGTGAGGGTGGTATCATTATTATCTCCATTTTACAGATGAGGAAACTGAGGCTCAGAGAGGTTAAATGACTTGGCCAAGGACAAACAGCTAGTAAGTGGTGGAGCCTGGACTCAAACCCATGACTGTCTGACTCCCACAGGGAAGAGCTGCTTCTCTGCTCCCTTCCACTCCAACCCACCACCAAATCAAACTGTAACCCAAGTAAAAACCAAAACCAAACACATCTGAGAGCTGGATTCACCTGACCTTTTCTCTCAGTCTAGGAGCCATGTCTACCTTGTTTCCCTCCCTCTTCCCCCGTGTGACTGAAACTCTGTGGTTTAATCTGGATCGACCTTGTGTGGAAGAGACAGAGCTGCAACAGCAAGAACAGCAGCATCAGGCCTGGGTGAGTGAGGACCCAGCACAGTGGTGGAGCCTTATTCAGGGATCTCCCCTTCATTGGCCATGACCCAGCCTTACTCTGGAGACCTGCCCTGGAAGAGCTTTTTGCTTTGAGCTGAGAATAATCAGGCTAGGAACTGGATTCTCATCTTTGTGTTACCCTAATTTTCTGGGGGACCGTGGGACCTCTGAGCCAGATTGGAGCCCAGGCTCTTTTCCATAAAGCATAGGAAATAATAATTTTGACTGTTTATTGAGGAGACCTAGCAGATGCCATGTTCTAGGCCAATAGTCTCTTACTTCACCCTCAGCATAATCTTATGAGGAAATCAAGGCCTAAAGAGTTTATGTAATTGGATCAAGTTCATAACTAAGTTGCAGATGAAAGGAAAGGGATTGAACCTTCCTGAGAACTGGAAGGAAGTTTCTCCTTCACACTTGGGTGGTCTTCTTGCAGGCAGGGTGGTCCAGACCCATGCCCCTGACCTTCCCTGCTTGGGCCCTGGCCCTGCTTTTCTTCCTCTTTGGCCATAGCTCCAGAGCATTGCAGAGAAAGACAACAACCTGGTACCTATTGGCAAGCCAGCTTCAGAGGTGAGTGGGGCCCAGGTGGAATAAGGCTCTCTTCTAACTCTGAAGGTCCTGCCTCTGACTCCAGAGCAGTTGTACTCCTTAGCTCTGGATGGAGGCTGGAAACGGGAACTAGAGGGGGTGGGCACTGGGCCCAGAACTAAGGTCCTGCAGAAAACGCACCAGCCTCTGAGACTCAAGCAGGGCAGGGTTGGGGAATAGGGATCATTTGTTGGCTCCAGAGAGTGGCTCCAAGTGGGTCAGCCCTTGAACTGGTCCAAGAAGGCCTGTAGAGTTTACAGGCTCTCCCTGCCTCACCAGCACTATGATGATGATGAAGAGGAGGATGAAGATGACGACGAGGATAGTGAAGAAGACTCAGAGGATGATGAGGACATGCAGGACATGGACGAGATGAACGACTACAATGAGTCACCTGATGATGGAGAGGTCAATGAGGTAGGCAGGGGTTGGGAAGGGCCTCTACTCCTTGCCCCTGCTGCTGACCTAATTCGTGGCCAAGGGGTACAGAGACCCTGGATCCAGCCAGGAGCAGGATCTGGCACTGGGGCTGGCTGGGTGGCTGAGGCCCCTCCCCACCCACACCCAGCCTCCTCTCCAGGTGGACATGGAAGGCAACGAACAGGATCAGGACCAGTGGATGATCTAGGTAGACAAGGCAGCGTGGCCTCTGAGAGATTCCAGGCCAACCCAACCTACCCTGTGACCCCTGCAGAACCAGCTGATCACCCTAGTGCCTGAAAGCTCACCCTCAGGCACCTCCTCCGCTGCTGCCAGGACCTGGTCTTGTTGGCCTCTCCCAGGCCATCAGTCTGCCCTTGAATCCCCAGGACCTGAGCCCGCACCACCTTTCTGGCCAGTACCTCACCCCTTGGTTGCCAGGTGTAGTCTCTTTCTAACTCTCTTTAATAAAGACACAGGACTGATTTTTTCCCCCCCGGGTCTATTCCCTATTTGTTGGTGGGGCCCAGAGGAATCCAGCATCTTCTCTTGAGCTTTGGGGAGAGGGCATTCAAGGGACTTCAGGCAAACCTACCTGGCATGTGGGCCAGGGCTAGGGAAGGCCAGGGTCCAGGGTCCATTGCCATCTCCTCTGGCCCAGCTTGCACCAGCCATTACTGCAGTGCTTCTAACTCAGTTTACTGTTTCTTTTAATCCTATCCACAATGGCATGGGCTCGGGAGGGCAGGCTTTCTGAGGTCCAGGACTGGGAAGCCCCTAGAGCTTCTCCCAACCAGTTTCCTTGGTGTTAAGAGAGTGGATTAAGTCTCAGAGCAGGGCAGGGACCCCACTGGAGTCACCCAGCAAATCAGTGACAGAGCTGGGGTGGGAGTTCATACCTTTTGCCTGTCAGTTCATGGCTTTTTCTGGAAAGAGGGGGACCAGTGGGACCAAGCAGCCTGACAGAACTTGATGCCTCAGGTAAGTGGGGCAGAGGTAGAAGGAGAGCCTCCCCAACCGAGCCCAGCATGTGTCAGGCACAAGCAGGGAGGGGAAGGGATGTTCTGAGGTTCTTGCTTGCGTGGGGGTGAGGTGGGGCAGCAGTAAGTACCCCTGAGCATGGACCTCAGCCAGGCCCTGCATAGGTGAGCTGGGCTATGCCGTCCTTGATGGCAGGGAAGTCTGGGAGGCCAGTATGGTGGATGCGGCAGCGGTAGCGGCCACAGCTCTTGGCGTACTGCAGGAAGCGAGGTGCACCAGGGAAGAGCACGTGGTCAGCCAACACAGTGGCACCAGCTGGCAGCAGGGCATGAGCCTCCAGAAGCTGCAGGTCCCGCAGGTAACATCGGGGCCGGTGTGCCAGGAGCACCAGATCTGCCCGACTCAGCTGGTACTGGGTTCGTAGGCGCGGGATCACCTCCTCCGAGCTACCCACGATGAGCTCCACCTGTGGGGTCGGGAGGAGCTGAACGTGAGGGTGGGACAAACCAGGGTTGTCCCACACCAGACCCCACCAGGATCTGGCCTACTTTATGGCAGGCCCTGGACTAGATCCCCACCAGTGTTCTCGCATTTCCTCTGGCCTCAGAACACAAGAAGTCAGGATTGGTATTGTGATTTCTATTCAGCCAGTGAAGAAGCTGAGATTCAGAGGATAAGTGCTTTGCCCAAGGTCTCATAGCTAATAAGAGGCAGACTAAGGTTTGGACCCAGATTTGCTGGGCTCCAGAGACTTTCCTCCTAACTGCTTCGTCATTCAGCAGCACATATGTGCAAAAGACTTGAACAGGAGAACAGGAGTTCATACAGCTTCCAGGTTCCCTAGGTGGAGCTGCTTCCTTCTCCTAGGTGGGATTCTCCTATTGGGGAGGCCTGGCCAGAGCAAGGCCAAGGGAAAAGACCAGGGTTGGGGTGGTGGGGGCTGACCGTGCGCTCGTCGAAGCCAGCCAAGCGGATGAGTTTTTCAGCCACTACTGCCGTGCGTGGGTCACGCTCCACAGTGAGAAGGCGACTCCCAGGGGGCAGGGCACGGGCAATAAGCAGTGTGGAGTACCCGCAGTAGGTGCCCAACTCCAGCACACAAGCAGGGGCCTTCTCTTCCACCAGCCGTGTCAGGATCTGACCTGTGGGGAGAGAGAGCTACTGCAGCAGACATGGGAGATGGATTGCAGGCCATAGAAAGAGATCTCAAATGCCCACCTGCCTCATTGCAGCTCCCAACCAGCTGGAGTCTTATCTCTCTTGAGCTAGTCTCAGCTCCCTCACTGGTCTCCCTGCTCCTCCCGACTTGCTTCCTTCAATCTAGTCTTCACACCAGCCACTAGGAATCTCTGAAAAACAAATCTGACACTGTCACTCCCTGGTTCCTTGATCTTAAGGCCTTTGGAATTGAACTTGGGATCTCAGCCTCACATTCAGGACCTTCTTGGAACTGATCCTATCTTACCTTTCCCATTTCAGTTCTCAATTCTTCCTACCTGTAGCCTGTACCACAGCCATCCCAAACAGCTATGCCCAGGATCAGCCATTCTGGCTTGTTCCTTCCTATCACATTTGTATATGTGGCTGGCTTTGCCCTTCCCCAACCTTATCCTCACCTGCCTGGCCAACTTGAAAACAGTCCTACTAGGCTCAGTTCAACTCTTGCTTTCTCCAGGAAGGTCCAGGCAGAAACAACCACCAATTTTCTGAGAATCCATTTTCCAGTCTCCTGAGAGAGCTTTGCTAGAACTTCCAGTTTAATTTCCCCTTGTTTGTTGGATATATTTCTAACCTTGGAACTGGATCAATTCCTTAAGACTGAAAGCACTTGTGCTAGGAGCTGGGACTCAGACAAATCTAGGTAGACGGCTGCCTTGAATGGGATGTGGGAGCCTCCAAAGTGGGGGAGAAAGACATTACAAAGTTATGGGTTATGTGCAGAGATGGTTATTCCCCTGTGTGTTAAGCCCCCCTTGAGGCCAGCATCTGTGGCTGATTCATCCGTGTGGCCTCTACTTTCTTCTCCCCCAGCACCCAGCACATGCCTGGTACAAAAGAGGTGGCAATAAATGTTTGCTGGATGAATTAATAACTTTGTCTAGCCCCCCCATTTCTGGAGGAGAGAAAAGAGACCCATAGAGGATTGAGAACCTGCCCAATTCACCCATTAAGACAGTGGCAGATCCCAGCTCTTCCTTCACCATTTAGGAGGGTGAGGGGTGGGGGGTGGAGAGGGTGCTTCCTGGAGTAGAATGCTAGGGAACACTGACCTTTGACAGGCCCCATGTGGCTCAGGTATTCGCAGTGGCTGCTCCAGTGGTCCAGGGTAGTGAGGATGTGACTAGGGTCCCCAGGGAGGGCATGAGTGAGCACATAGCTGAAGGCCCGTTCCTCAATCCGCAGCCCTGACAGGTAGTCTCGGAGGCTCCGCAGCAAGACTGTGCGCACCAGAAGTCGGAAATGGTGCCGGTACCGCACCAGCAATGTCACTACCAGTGGCAGGAAGGCTAGCGCGATGGCGGGAGACATGGTCCGTCCCTACCTGGGTCCTGGGGTGAAAGGAGGCAGTGAGGGAAACCCACACCTGACATTTGCCTGTCATTAGTGCAGCCCTTACCAGTAGTAATTATTATCCCTATATTTTATAAACTGTGGCTCAGAAAGGCTGTCTTTTGTCCAGAATCACACAGTGGAACTAGGATTTCAATCTGAGTTGGTCTGATCCCAAGCCCATGTACTTTCAAGGACTCCATGCTAAATTCAGAACTCAACACCAAAATACCTCTTCCCACTTCCATCTTCACCTTGCTCCCTCCACCCATTTCTCCTCATCTCTGTTGTCACCATTCTTCAGGACCCCTTTCACCAGTTCCCTTCTGAGATATCCTCCTGCCCTGCCCCTGCCTGCTCTGTCTCCCCTGAACCGTTACTGTGTAGCAAAAGAGCACAGCTTTACAATCAGAAACCCCTTCACTGTCATTGCTCTGCCTCAGTAAAAGGCAATGAAAACACTCCACAGGGTGTTAGGATGAGATGTCCTTCCCACCCCAGGACCTTCCCTCTGTGCTTCCCTAGGGGTGAGAAGAATCCTTGATTCCATATTTCTCTTTCAGTCCCATCTCTCCTCCCTTGCATTCCCCCCTTTTCTGCCTCAGAATTCCCTTCACATGTGCATACACAGAGCACACACTTTTCTCCTCACTCAGCCCTCTTCCCCCCAGACCACTATGAGGGATGTTTCCTGTCTTCTTCCATGCCCTGGACCATCTGACCCCTGTGAGGCCACTGATAGTGGTGGAAACTAAAAATTAAAGTGGGAATGTATGAATGGGTGTGAATAGGTAGGCAAGTGATGGCAAATTTGAACTGGTGTGCTTGGGAACCCACGCAGGGGCCCTGCTTACCTGGGCTGGAGGCGCCTGCTTGGGGAAGATCAGAGCATAGGACAGGAGGGGGCAGTCCTTGGAGGGTAGGGGTAGAACCCTGAGGCAGGCTGGACTTGTTCTCAATTATTGATGTGAGGCTGCTGCTGTCACCTGAAACTTGCAGTTCAAGTTACTAACCCCAGGGACAAGTGGGAGTTGCCTCCTACCCTCAGGAGCACTCACAGAACTTATGAGAACCCCAGGGTCTTGATTTGAGGGCAATAGAGCTACAGGGCTTGATGGCCTCTCCTCCAACCTCTTGGATCAGCACATGGGATCTGGTGTGAGCCAAGGTGATAGGGAGGTTGTAATTTACTCATTCATTCCAAATTCAAGTTTTCTCTAAGTAAGTGCCAGGGAGTGGGTCACAGAAAAGAGTGAGATCCTGTCCCTGTCGTCCAGGAACTCCATGATTTTTTTTGTTGTTGTTGTTTATTGTTGTGTGTGTGTCTGGAACTCCATGTTTGGTAGAAGAAACTGGTGTAGGAATAGAGAATACAATATAATGCGATCACTAAAATGGATGCTCCATGAATACAAGGACTCTTGGCTGTTTTGTGAACTGGTACATATTCAGAACAGTGTGTGGCACATTGCAGATACTCAGTAAATATTTGATTCAAAAAATGAATGAATCAACACATGATAGGGATTAAGCACAGGAAATGCTGAAAGAATGAAGTCAGAGAAGGCAATCAGGAGGATATTGTTGTCTTGAAGACGACAGGCCAGCCTGGTGGGGAGACAGGGTGACAGGTTACACGTGCAAAGTTCAGGTTAATCAGAAAACTGCTATGACTGGTGAGACATTCCCCAACCCTCCACCACCCTCTGGGCCTGGAGTGGGAAGCAGGTATTAGAATCTTCAAGATCTTGAATGACAGACTTGGACCTGTGTTCAGGGTCCAAGGGAAAACATGGGATGGTTCTAAAAAAAGCACAATCAGCCCTAGCTGGTTTGGCCCAGGGGTTAGAGCATCAGCCCGTCGACTGAAAGGTCCTGGGTTCAGTTCTGGTCCAGGGCACATACTTAGGTTGCAGGCTTGATTCCTAGTCCAGGTCAGGGTACCTGTGGGAGGCAACCAATTCATGTATCTCTCTCACATCGATGTGTTGTTTTTTTCCTCACTCTCCCTTCCACTCTCTCTGAAAAGCAATGGAAATAATATCCTCGGGTATTAAAAAAATTAAAATTAAAATTAAAAAAGCGCAATGATGGTGAGCTTTGTGTGTTAAGATAATACTGCTGCCATAAAATGGCAGGATTGAAGAGAAGGGACCAAGGGGGTCTCTATCTCCACTACCGGGATTAAGCTCCACTCCGCTCCACTTGTGAAGGTGGAAGGTTCCTTCTTCCACTACGTACAGAGCCCAGGCCTGCCCTGAGAACTACATTGGTTGTCACACCTCTGCGTCTCCCGACTTGTGGCTGGGCAACTGGAACCTATGTGTGTGCATCCCACTCACTCCTCGTGTGGCATTTAGGAAAACCACATCACGATGGCATCTGCTATGAGTTTGCTCACTGGCCGAAGCCACACGACCTAACGAGGGCCTGTACCCCCCGCAGGGGACCACCCGAGCTCAGAGATTGAGGCGAGGCTGAAATCACGTGATACGCCCCTCCCTCTTCTCCCATCACGTGTCTCGCGTCTTGTTCCGCAGGGTGCGCCTTCCCATTGGTTGGAGATGGTCACGCGGTGGGGGCGGGCCCGGAAGCTGGGTTCGCAGCGCAGTGGCAGCGAAGCGGCTCCAGGAAGGGGTAGTATGAGGGGCGGTGATTGCTTGCTGATTTCAGCCACGGGACATGTGACCGGAAGGGCTCCGGACGGACGCCGTCCCTCCTCCTAGCGTCCCGAGCGCCCGGCCCGACCCCGGCCATGGGATGCTGCTACAGCAGCGAGAACGAGGACTCGGACCAGGTGCGGCCGCGGCGGGCGGGGCTCGGGAATGTGGGCTCAGACCCTGGGGCATGGGGCTCTGAAAAAAAAAAAACCTGCCGAAGAGGGGAGCCGGACGTCGGGACTCACTGAGTACGGAGGCCCGGAGGGGACAGATTACAGAGGAGACCCCGAGTCGGCCTCTACTGTTAAAGCCCCAGTTCTTTGCACATTCACCGCGGTGGGGTGTGCAGGCAGCCGCCTATCTATCTCACTTGCTCCCATCCCTTTGACCTTCCCTACTTTTAAATCTTTACAGCTTCAAGGATCCTTAGCCTAGGTCCCTGGGAAGCACTCTCTTTACACCTCCCTGTGCTTGCATTAGCGGGCTTTGTGAATCTGTTGTAAAGGTGGGGAAACTGAGGCTCAGTTAGTTTGTCCCGAGATGAATCAGGAATCTGTATTCTCTCAGTACCTGGGGTTGGAGAAGGAAGCTCACTGCTGGTCTGGGGACAGAGGAGGCCTCTGGAAGGTGGTGGTATTTGAGTCAGTCAGTGAAAGGTTTAACAGACACAGTGAGGACATCGGGACGTGTGGGGAATTATTTGGGTAGTAACAAGTCGGGTTTAGCTTCCGTTGGATTGGGTGGGGTGATGGGATGGGATGGGAAGCTCAGTTTTGCCTGCTCTAGTGCAGTCCCTACCTGGGGCCTGAGGGTTCCTCTAGCTAGAGGGTTTTTTTCTCACCCTGGGAATTTGGCTGTAGATCAGATCCCTTTGCAAGAAGAATTAGACTGGGAAAACCTGTCCAGTTTTAAATTCTCCCTCTTCCTCTTGGTGCATTTTCAATTCTGGCCCTTCCCATCTGACCTCCTTTGGGAGGGAGGGGGCTTTCCAGGATGAAGTCTTAAGCTGTTGGCCACTCACCTTTTGATTGCCTGTGCACCTGGGTTCCTCATTTCAACACAGACAGAGACAGTAGAAAGGTTTCAGTAATTAGCCCACAGTCTGGTGAGGTAGATAATCAAAGAAATGGATTATATCACTAGTACTTGGGAGTAGGTCTTTCCCCAGGGGCGCACATGAATTTGTTTTGGGTTAGGGACTTAGGGTTGGGAAAATGTCATTTGTATGAGCGGCATGGGTGGCTGAACACAATGAAGACATTATCATATTTCCTCTGTCTTATGTTAGGCATGCCTTATGGCCAATACCTTTCACTTCACCCCAGCCTGTTAAAGGGACAGTATCCCTGCCTACTGGGAAAGCTGTGGCCTATGGGAAGTTATATGGATTCTTTCTGGTAATGAGTCAAAAGGGTTAATGCCTGCCTTATGAGAAGGGATACCAGCTTGTAGCTGGAAGAGTTGGGCTTGTTGCTCTCCTCAATCTCCACCTTGCCCTTGATGGGCCTAACCCCCAAAGACAGTGTTTGGTCAGTGCTAGGTGATTTGAGGTCATGGGGCAAAAGTCTAATTACCTGTCTATAAGCCATAACCATTCACTATCAAAAATTCCCTTTCTGAGCTCTTGGGCAGGCCCCTCTTCCCCTCTCATCACTGAGGCCTGAGGGTTCCTCTAGCTAGAGGATTTTTTTCTCACCCTGGGAATTTGTGTAATAATAAAAAGAAATGCACAATGTATTACAGTTTTCAAAACACTTTTGTAGTTATCTCATTTGACTTTTGCCAAACATCTGTCATAAGGTACCATTTATGTCTATTTAAAGGCAAGGAAGCCCTGGCCAGGTAGCTCAGTTGGTTAGAGGGTTGTCCCAATACACCAAGGTTGTGGGTTTGATCCCTGGTCAGGGCACATATAAGAATTAGCCAATAAATGCATAAATAAGTGGAACAACAAATAGATGTTTATCTCTCTCCCTCTCTCTAAAATCAGTAAATAAAACTTAAATAAAGGCAAGGAAAAAGTTGAGAGACTAAGTGACTTAGCAAAGGTTACAAAGCTGAGAAGTGCCATAGCCAAGGTATTTTGATGCCAAGCCATGTGCTCTGTCCATTGGACCAAGCTGTCTCTTCTAGCTGTGCCCATGGATCAGATGGCTAGTCATGGGCAGGCCATGTACATGTTTATGCGAGGGTAGACAGTGACACTCTTGACTCCTGAATTGACATTGACTCAGGGACAAAACTTGGTGTGAAAAACTTCCCTTTTGTTCCCTTCGCCCTTTGTGGGTGAGGCAATGTTATGTGTCCATTCTGATGGTAGTAGTATGGCCTCTGGGAGGCTAGGTCTCAGGAACACAACCGTGGTTTTGAAGAACCTGATAGGGGAAAAACTGCCCTGTCCTGCAAGAAGGTCTGTCTGAAGTGGGGCTGGAGGAAGGATGGACACCTAGGAAGCAAACTCAGGCTTCATTATGGAACCAGCTTTCTTTAAGGATAGTTTAATCTTTAGCAAGCATTTTTATCTTTCTAGCCCCTTAATACTTAGCCTGTGTTTTAGGGATGGTGCTTGTTTAGGAGTTGGGAGGTGATGGGACAGAAGCCCACAGCTTCTGTCTCATGCTGCTGGGAACCGAGGACACTTGGGCAACCTAGGACACTTGGGCAACCTAGGATTGAGCAGGAAGAGTCATGTGACAAGGCTGGGCCTGCCTAGGGGTGGGGCAGGCCTGGCAGGAGGAACTGGCCCTCTGCAAGGAAAGTTGTTGGGGAGGGAAGTTGGGAGCCTGTAGTGGGAAAGTCAGTGGCAGGAACTGAGATAGGCCTGGAGTGGAGCACTGAGGAGTCTGGTGGTCTGGCACTACGGGTTGGTGAGTCAGCATTAGCCAGGATGGGCCCCTTGTCTTTGACTTTGTCCTGAGCACCCTCATTCTTTATGGCTTGGATAGATCCTCAGCAGGTCTCCTTATCCAATTTGCAGCTGACAAAGCCAGCAGGGATTTGCAGATGATAGGCTCAAGGCAGGGTTTTGTCCAGAAAGATTAGAACAAGGGACTAAACCAGGACAAGGAGAAATACTGAATTATACAGGACCAGGGAGACTTTGCCCCAAGTCAGTTCTGGGGGTTGTGATCATCAGTGTAGGCTAGAACTGATCAGTGGCTGCTGAACATTAATGAAGTCACATTAATAGAGGTGTGGCACCTGGGCAAGGGAGGGAACAGCTCCACTGTTCAGGTCAAGATATACCAGGTGTACCAAGTTTGGTTCCTGGAGTCTTATACAAAGAGAGCAGGGTGAACATCTGAAAGGGGAAGGGACCTGCCCTCAAGAAGGAAGCATACTCAGACTGTGTGACCCAGAGGTTGGGGCTGGGACTCCTGCCCTGGAATAATATAAAGAATGGGCATTGGGAGTTTGGGCTTGCTTTCTCTTTGGGCTTAGGGCCTTGCCTGGCCTCACAGGGTCCCTCTATCCTGGGAACATCCTTGCTGGGGGGGGACCTGGTTTGGGGGATCAGGAAGGCCATTCTTGGGCTCCTGGCTTGCATGAATTTCCCCTGTAGACCCTACTATTTTTGGTATTTTCCACCTCTTCTGACTTCCAGCCTCTAATATTCTGTCTCCGTAAATTGTTGGACTATTTTCTGAAGCTCTAAAGCTGTTACTAAATACTTGTTTCGTGCCTCCGTCCATCTTTTCAGGGTGTCTACGACTGCTTGATTCCACTTTAATTCATCCTGGACCACCAGACTGAGCTGAGCTTCCAAGGGCAAGCAGGAACTGAGTCTTATCTGACATATAGTTGGGCACTGGGATATTCCTAATAAAAATATTTTTGGTGCTTAAAGGTCAGAGTTAGGCTGAGAGGAAAGCCCAGAAAGGCAGGTTGGACTAAGCACCCTGGGGCTGACTTCTCCCTGGTGGTCTCTCCCAGGACCGAGAGGAGCGGAAGCTGCTGCTGGACCCTAGCAGCCCCCCCACCAAAGCCCTCAATGGAGCCGAGCCCAACTACCACAGCCTGCCTTCTGCTCGCACAGATGAGCAGGCCCTGCTCTCCTCTATTCTTGCCAAGACAGCAAGGTGAGCATCTTGGAGCAGAGCTCCTCCATCCATGTTAAAGGCTGGGATAGAAGGAGCTGACCCAGGACATGGGGGCTGGGACAAGGTCAGTGGGTGAGGCACCTCTGGCCCCAGCCCTGCTCCAGTAGGCAGGTGGGGACACTGGTATCAGTCCTGGAGTTGGAGCCTGGCAGTGAATCCTGTTCATCCCTCTTGGATGTACTTGTCATGTCTTCTCTGTGCCTTTTCTCCCTAAAGCAACATCATCGATGTGTCTGCTGCAGACTCCCAGGGCATGGAGCAGCATGAGTACATGGACCGGGCAAGGCAGTACAGGTGAGCACCTGGCCAGCTTGGGTTCCTCCGCTCCCATCCATCCCTGATCCAGCTTTGGAGCCAGTCCAGTCTCTTCATTTGGGTGCAGCCCAGGAGACTGCCCACAAACCTCTTGGGTGCCTCAGCAAATATTCATGTCAGCACTATTTGTCCTGTGACACTCAAGGGGGGGGGGGGCAAGAGGTAAATTTGCGGTGAGCTGAGGCCCCATGCCCTGCTTCTCTGGTCTGAGGGAGGCTTACCTGGGCTCAGCTGGGCAGAGCAGGGCAGACTGAATTGACTGCCCATCCCACTCCTCCTTCTCGGGCAGCACCCGCTTGGCTGTGCTGAGTAGCAGCCTGACCCATTGGAAGAAGCTGCCGCCACTGCCATCTCTCACCAGTCAGCCCCACCAAGTGCTGGCCAGCGAGCCCATCCCCTTCTCTGACTTGCAGCAGGTGAGCCACCCCGCGCCCCACGCCTGCCCACCCACTCACACTACCCGGGCTGTGGCAGAGGGTTCATCCCCTCTTCCTCAGAGGAGGTGGGGAAGTGGAGTTAACCTGATAGCATGTGGGCTCTGCTCACTCCCACCTTTCTCTTTGGTTTTCTGTCCCCCATCATTCCCTCCTCTGTGGCAATCCGATCCTCCTCCCCTGGTTTCTGGATCTCCCTACTCACCTGTCTCTCTCTGTTCCTCTCCTCCCTGATCCCTCTATCTCAGGTCTCCAGGATAGCTGCTTATGCCTACAGTGCACTTTCTCAGATCCGTGTGGACGCAAGAGAGGAGCTGGTTGTACAGTTTGGGATCCCATGAAGACAGGGTTCCTTGGACAGCTCTTCTCCTCCTCTCTTCACCCCGTCTTCACCCTGCCTCCCCCGGCCCCCAGCCTCACTGCGACTTTACTGTACCCTAACCTGCTACTAATCACAGAGAAGAATGTGGAGAAGAGCGAGGCTAGAAGCCTGAACAAGTGAGGATGGAGCAAGAGAGGGAAGAACCATTTGGGACTGGCCTTTGAAGCCCTGGCCAGAGGTGGGGTGGGGGTCAAAAGGACAGGGCCTGGTAGGTCTTCACTGTCACTGGGAAGAGGTGGAGGTAACACTGAGGGTGATCACTAGGGGGCCTGTGGAGGCCCCTTTCCTACTCTTTCTCTTGGCCTCACTCCTGTGCCCCTCTCCCTGACTTTATGCTCACAGGCACCTCACTAGGGTTTGTGACCAGTGTCTGGACGAGCTTGAATTTGAATGAATTGAGTTTGCATTTCTAGCACCCTGGGTTTTTACATGTTTGGGGGTTTTGGTGTTTTTTGTTTGTTTGTTTAGTTATCTCCCTCGATAAAGGAAATGTATTCATCTGTGTGCTGATTTCAGCCCCTCTGTCCTGCCCAGCACCCTACTGCTTACTTCTGGCTATTTAAGTCTATGAGCAGTGAGAATGGATGAGGGGGAGGAGGACATCTTTTAGGGACATTAAGGAGTCCAGGAGATAAGAGTTGAGGGTTCCCAGATCTTTGCTGAGACTCGGCCTGGGCTAACCTCAAATTGGATAAGGTTGCTTGTCCTTTCTCCAGTGATGGGAACATAGGCAAGCTGTCATTGTTGAGGACCCTGCCACAGGCTCAGTAAAATTACTGAAAAGCCTGG